ATTATTAGTGATTGAGGATTGGACAACATTTTTACAAAAATAATTATGATATTCCCCAACAAGGTAAGAAATTTAATATTCTATATACTCATTATTCACAAGATGACAAGACTTTCTTTTTCTTTTTTACACTCAGGGACCGAAACATTATTGCTTCGGTAAAAAAAATTATAGAAGAACAAAGGCTTAAAAAGAGTTTTGAGCTAGTGATTAACTATCATTGGATTCCTTGTGCCTGTTTTATTCAGGGAGTGCAAACAAAATCTCTAACCAAATAGCACTTGAGATATGTATCTTGGCAGATTTAATTCCCAATATAAAAAAATACATGAAAAGGGGAAAGGAAAAACTCCAAATCTATAGTTGCTTAACTTGTAGCTTAAAGATAGTTTATTCAAGTAGTGGCCACTAGAGCACTTATGCATCTTAAATATTTAAATTTTATTTCTTAGGGTGTTCCATTTTGATGTCGGGCCATCGATATTGACTAAGTGAGAGAGAGATGAGTGAATGAGAGATAGTGAGAAGGAACACTCTACTCATGACTTTGAAGGCCAAGGAGTCATGCATCCTTTTGTTAATTAGATTACGTGTTAACAAAAAGCTGAGCTACAAGATCTATTTGGGATGATTTTGGCCCCCAACCATGTTAAGAGGAAAAATAAAACAGGGAAAGGAACTCGACCATATAACATTATAAAAGTGCCCTTTGGAATCTATACGCAAATTCAAAAAATATATTTTCATAATATGTTCTTCCTTTTGTTGCCTTTGCTGATAAATATCGGATTTAATTCTTTTAGGGTAAAAAAAATTAGAAAGTGAAAAATAAAAACGTGTTCCTCATTAATTGAAGTTAAAATACCTCAAATTGGGGTGGCATTCGTTTAAAGTTTTAGTAGATATTATCTGCTTTCATACTTTCATTTTTTTTTATAAAAAAATCTATGTTCGTACATATATAATAATTTTAGTCTCCATTTATCCTGTTACTTGAACTCTACCATACTGGAAAAATAATCTTGCAACAAAAATGACGAAAACAAAGATGTCAGATGTCGACAACGCGCGATAAGTTATTAAAATATGATTTATAAGTTGTAACTGTAAAGCTAAAGAACTGTAAATAGTCTAATATATATTTTTTGAAATAATGTATTTTTTTTACACCTTAAAATAATGTATTAAATAGTGTTTGCGAAACATCGATCCCCACGTATCAAGATTATGCATGCTCATTTAATGAATACTATTTTCTTTTTTATTGGGAATATTTTTGCAGGTATCACGTGGAAGAATCTTAGAGTGAGTTTAGTAAGTTGCTCTGATAACTCATAAATTACTTTGATTATGTTATAGATTAGTTAAATTAAAATAAACATGTTTAATATATGACTTTATATTAGTAATTTTAAGCTTATTTCATACATACATAAGTCATAAGATGGTGTTTAGCATTAATTAATCATAATTCTTAAAAATGATAAATATTAGTTATCATCATTTTTTAAATAGTTAAAATCTATTTGGTTAACTAAAATTTTTTCGAGAAATATTTACATAATTTTTTAAAGTTAAATATTTATGTATCAACAGAAATTTTCAGGGTATATAAGTATTTTTTTTCCTTCTAGAAATACAATTTTAATTATTGACTATTTAAAAAATACAAAATTATTAATAAAATTTATCATGTAATTTTAATAAATTTTAACTAAAAACAAAAGTGTGTTAGACATGGCTAGAGCGACACCAACGTTTCTCTTATTCCTATGTGGTGATTAAATCTAAAACAGGGAAGTAGTATACTAGTATATTCAATCTTGAAAATAAATTTTATTTTTACATTTTATTACTTCAGTAATTACGTGTACTTGCTAAATTTATTAATTAACCAGTACTGTATAGTAAAGAAAAATCAAATTTAAAGTAAAAATGGAAAGAGAAATCATTGGTGTTTAGTCTTTGTCTGCATTCATCATAATACTCCCTTACACTATATCATTAGAATCACTGACTTAGCAAATTCATGCATAGCCCAGTTGACTTTGCCTGTGACCATCCCCAGTGAAAGCTTTCGATAACCCTATAATTAAATTTATTGCCAAAAATAATAATGGCTGTCCAAAGATTTTTATTCATTCCACACCACTGAATCATAATGGTATTGTTTTTCTTTTCTTGTTTTCATTTTTTAATTTCTATATTTATATACTTATACAATTATTTTGTATATATATTAAGGATATTTTTCAGTGGAAATCAAAAGCTTTTCGAGACATAAAATTTTTCAAATTAATTTTCAGTTTGTTCGATAAAAATGTTTCTCACATATACAATTAAAAATTGAACCTAGAAAAATAGGTTAAGGAACCTACCATCTATAGTCTATATATTTTTATTGTGGGTTTTGGTTAAGGTAATATTTGAAAGTAGTAATAGAGAGCCATTTGACTAATGACTAGTAGCTACGTCCAATTTGGATGATAGATATGATGGGTCATAATTATGATGGATGATCGATAATTGAGGAAACTTAGAGAAATATTTGATTCCGTAGATGTAATTAATTAACCCAACCAATTAGCAACAGAGACAAATCTGAATGATTATGCCTCCCGATTCTGTTGAGAACAAAGTTAATTACTTCCGACAAATTGAACATCTGCCAGCAATGGAATTCAATAGGGCTTCCCTTTTTACTCAGATTTTCATTTTCCTACAACTGCTTTGTGTTTTTTGTTTTCTTTTTATCAAATTTGCAGTCTACCATACCAATTTTTTTTTTTCAAATTGAAGATTAATCATAGAAATCAATAATGATAATAACTATCGAATGTACATATTTTCATGTGGTAGAAGGACAAGAAATAGGTCAAACACAGAGGTACAAATGCTCAAACATTCGGAGTTAACTTTAAATTCCATCTTTTATACGAGTTTGATTATGTCAAACTATTAATAAATAGTATTCACCAAAAACTATTAATAAATAGTATATCAATAAAGTAGAAAAATGAGAAATAAAAAGTGAAAACATGGTTTGATTGAACGAAAATGTTTCAAGTGAGAAATAAAAAGATGTTCACAAACTGTTGTTATCGTCATCAATTAAAATATTATAATCAATTGAAATATATTTGTACAATAATGATTTATACTATAGTAAAAAAATTGAATATTTTTTTAATTTTTTTATTTCTCATTTATTTATTTTCTCACCTTCAACCACTCAAAGTCTAAAATGAAGTTTTATTATAATCTAGAATAAATTTACTATGATGATAAACATGTTATAGTTATCCAATAGAACATGTTCCTAGGTAATTGTGAAGGGTAAAACAGAAAGAAGCTGTAAATCGGTGCGAGGCATGATCATAAAGAGCAGCATGGTGACCAATGTGTGAAACAAAGGTTGGCATTCTAAAAGATTTAATTATAACGTAACAAAGTAGGGAGGTTGAAGGTGTCACAACTTTAGGGCAATAAGATCATTGTTGAAAAGGACATTAAGAGGGGTGGCAAGGTACGTTCACTAGGGTTTCAAAGAAAGGATTGAAAACTTGAGGGGAAAATAAGGAAGCATGTTCTCAATTTGGTATGATGCTGTTCGCCATCAATTGACACCACCATAAAGTGCACTCATGCCCTCAATTGGATTGTTCCCCATCAATCTTTCCCCTCTTTTTTTTTTTTATTTGCCCATGGGCTACTTAGTTACCTTTAAATATAAAGCTCAAATTAGCCTCTAATCCTTCATAGACTTCCCTTGGGCTTTTGCCCTTTGTCCACTGTCCAATCCTCATGTGCCATTTTTTTTTCATTTCATCTTTTGGTTTTACTATTTAAAAGTTTATAATACAACAATCTTATTTCGGTAGTCGTAGGACTAGTGTGTCTGGCAGTCGTATACGTATATTTTTTTAAGTGCATTATTGATATGAAGTAAGTAATCTCTGTTGAAAAATCTAGTTAATTATTTTTAATAAGATCTCCTTTTTTCAAATAAAAATTTGAATTCAAAATAATACTTAAGAAGACGAAATTAAATATTACTCCAAACTATTACTTGATTTACCCACTCAATAATTTTGTAAGTGTTGTTCAATATATTATATCAACTCTCTCACACACAAGTATGTATATTAAATTAAATATAGTGGAATTTTGTTAAAATGCATGGTATGGTTTGTGATATGATAGGAAGGGATGGTGGATTACGCTATGGTTGGCATGATTGCAGGAATGAACGGTGGAGATTCTCCCATAGAAAAAGCTAGATGGAACAGTGTGCCAACCTGACTCCAATATAGAAGAAGAGCCACACTCCTTTTCCACCATTGACATTCTCTCACTCAGCACTCAGCGATTGGCAACATCTGCAAACTCCTCTCTTTCTCTCTCTCTCTCCCTCTCACTCTTATTCTGCAAACAAAGGGTCAAATCTTGGTTCACAATTGCATTTCCAGAGAAACTGAACCTTCTTCACCCAACCACAAAAGTCTCTCACATGTCGTCGGATATAAGCTAGACTAGACTATTAATCACCCTTTTCTTCCCTCATTCAACTCAACCTTCTTTACTCTTTTCCGTTGGAAACTAGCAAGGTTGGTTATATGTATTGTTCAATGACTAGTTGCGAGACTCGCTCGTTTTGCTGTGTTGAGTCGAGTGTAGCGTTAAGTGGGGAGGTGGGTTTGTGCGTGTTTAGACGATAGTGAGGGAAAGCTTGAAGCTTTGGTTGGTGGGGTGGTGGGAATTGGTGGGGTGAGTGATGGGTGCGGATCTTCTGATACTGCCAACAGTTGGACCGCCATTAAAACGGCGAGCGGGGTTGCGGAGGAAGCAGGCTGGAAGAGGGTCCTACAGAGGGAGCTAGTGTATGGTATTGGAGGGGTTTTCTTTTTTGGAGGATTCATTTCACCACCCTTATTCTCGAGGCTCTGAAAGTTTCTGACTTGTTAGGGGGGGG